GCACGCACGCCTGTATGGACAGCAGCACAACTGGCAGAGGCAGAATCTCAGAAGAGGCCTAGAGGCCCAACAGATGGATGAAGAAAGCGTGGTACCTAGGCATACCAGGTGCCACTTGTCCGTATGGACGGGTGAACTAGCACAGGTAGACTCCCTGCAACTGTGACCACTGAGTATGTTCACACAGAAGAAATCTGAGTCATGTGTAGGAAAATGGACGCACTTGAGACAATGCTTAGTGAAACGCATCCAACCCACAAGCTGCGGTACTGCAAGGCTTTCTCCTGAGAAACCCAAAGTATAAACAGAAAGCAAGAAAAAGCTGGATGAAGGAAACACAGACCTTCTCAAATGGGAGGGGACTGAGATGGAGGGGGAGGGGTGGAAAGGAGTTGCCACACAGGCACTCAGCAGCCCCACGCAAGCAAGTGGTGGTCACCTACTCCAAGCGTGTGCTAATAAAAATTAAAATTTGGAAAGAAGTTCGATTTAAATAATCTCACTAGAAACCCCCACACAAAAAGGAAGGTCACTCCTACCCCACCCAGTGCTGGGGACCAAACCTACATGCTCAGAGCGTCCTGGCACTGAGCCTGCCTGTCCTCAGCCTGTCGCCTCCTACCCGCAGCTCAGGCTTCCCAGCAGCTCCCTGCCTCTCTCACCACAGCCGCAGCACCCAGCAGCAGGGACTGACGTTCCTAGTCCACCTGCGTGACAATGTCCCAGACTCAACATCTGTCCTGAGGGGCATGTTTGGCTTAGAAACCAAACTGGGATGGGACACAACAGGATGCAGGACACTGTGGCCACCAGGGCCACCCCAGCCAGGTCAGTGGGCTGTAAGGACAGAGCCCGAGAAGCCTGCTGGGAAGGCTCAGGGACCCAATCAGTGGGAGGACGGGCAGCCCTGGGCAGCCCTTGGGGACAGCGCAGGAACTCTCAACACCAAGACCGGGAGGAGCAGAGCAGGCCCAGGCATGGGTGATCACAGGGATGCAGCCGTGGGAGCAGTTGCGGCAGATGACAGGCTGTGACTGAGCCAGGGCCTAAAAGAATGTGCCTGGGGCAGGAGGGGCAGAGGAACAAGCAGCGAGGCGGACTTGGAACAGGCTGGATTCCAACAGCTTCGCTGAAAATTGGTTAGGGATCTACAATGCATTTTTCCATAATTTGCGGCTAGCTTCCTAGGTTGGCTATGAAACCTATAAGCCAGCCAGAATACTGCACCCTCGCGCAGCCAAAAGGGTGACGCGTGCTACTGCAGTGTGTGCTGCCCTGCGTGGGATTTAGAGCTGCTGCCTGCAGAAATCAAGCTATAAGAACCAGGCAGGGTCAGCTGGGCTTCTGACGACTGGAGGCCCTAAAGGCTGCTGGCCTGTGGTTCCTCTGGAGGGGGACTTTGGGTACAATAGGGGAGGAAGCCAGGCACCCACCTGCCCCACGGCACTGGGCTTGGCTCCTCCTCTACAGCTCGATTCTTAGCACCCCGGTGTCTGGAGCCACAGGACCCGCCCTCTCACACCCCTCCAAATGCTGCATTAAGACCCTGCACCCAAAACCTAAGACCACCCAAGACCTCTCTGCCCCTCGTATCCTCCAAGACCGAGAGCCAGCGCGAGGCATCTGTGTCTCGGTGCCAGGCGCAGGGCCAGGCCCAGGGAAGAGGCCAGTGAGCTGTCTTCAGGCGTGTCCACCTGTGGCTTACAACTATGTCCCCCTTTAATGTTATGACAAAGAACACAAACAGTGAAGGCAGCTTCATTGTGCAATAAGCTATTATACATTTCACAAGCAACCAAGACGATTCCTTTTCACTCAGCACAGCCCAGCAAGCCAAGAGGCAGGACACTCTTTTGACTAAGGACAACCCTCAGGGTGTCCCAGCGTCTCTCCTATCACCAACGGCTCCTGGGACTCATGACAGAAGCCCCAGTGCCTGAGCTCAGGACTGCAGCAGAGCAAGTTGCCTCTCACCCCAACAACCGGCAGTCACAACACTGAGCCAGGTGAGGAGGGCTTAGCTATTAGCTAAGCACACATCACCTCTCAGTGGCAGGCAGGACAACCACGGCAGACCCAAATGCACACCCTCCAGCCTTGCAAAGGAAGTCCAAAAGAGCTGGGGAGGTGAAGAGGGACCAGTCAGATGTCCAAATGCGCCACATGCTGCGCCCCAAGCCAAGCGGCACAAAGCAGCATGGTCCATGGGGACCTGGCCAGCTGCCACAGCCCAAGAACTGCCCCCCTTACCACTTTGTGGGACACAGCTGAAGACAGCGCTTCCCAGATGCCCATGTGACCACAAGGAGGGCGGGGGGGGGTCCTTCGGTTGGGCAGGAGTGAAGAAAGTTCTGGGTGAGGTGGAGGCAGCAGGGAGCAAACCCAGGCAGGGTTACAGCCGAGTAGGGTACAGCTCCTGTGGAGCGTGAGGCATCAAGGCCTTCAGCAGAAGACAGCAGTGGGGCCGGGCTGTGATGCAAGGCAGAGCCACCACACATGACTCCTCTGGCGTGATTCGGGCCCCAAGCCTTGCTCTGCCTCGTCTCAGTGCCCCTTCTGTGCCCCTCCCAGCTTGGCCCCTGGAAGCACACCTGCTGCCTGTGTCACCTGTGTCAGTGGCATCTCCCACAGCCTTCAGGACCACGTCAGGCCCCTCATACGGCCCTGCCCACCCCCTCCTGGGCTGCCCAGCCTGCATGCGCAGCACACACCATCACCTGAGGACCTGCATCACCACCACCCACACCCACCCATGGGGAACCAGCTCTGCACATGGTGCTGCAGCTCTGACCCTGGGCTTGGGCCCCCTGAACCCAGGCCAGCACGGCTCCAGGGCCATCTCACCCAGCACAAGCACCACACGTTGCCTACAAGGTGCACACTCAGAGGTGGCCCTGCCTGCTCTGCTCAGCTGCGCGGCTGTCCCGAGTCCCCTCGCGCAGGGCCTGGCCGGCCCCATGTCCAGCCTGGCCTCCTCACCATTGCCATGCTAGTCTTACGTTGCTCAGCTGGCCTTGCCCAAGGGCATGGTCGCCCCGGGCCAGGTGTTCTGGCTCAGCAGGGCCTCAAAGGGTGGGCACCATAGTCCACATCTTACCAACCAGGACAGCGACACTGAAGGGAAAGAGCGTGGCCAAGGCAAGGCAGTTACCCAGAAGCCACCCAACACCCTCCTTCCTCAGCAGAGGCCTAGCGCTGGGGCTGTGGGCGCCGGGGCTGTGGACGCCAGGGCTGTGGGAGCCGAGAACGGCTTTCACAACATAGCTGCGAGCATCTCAGACTGGCCGAGTGAGATAGGGACGGAGAGCAGGGCGGCCCGCTGTGTTCACAAAGGGCTGGGGCTGGCACTTCAGAAGTTTGCACATCTGAGGCCACTTCATGGGTGGCACGCCTGGTGTATCCGTGGTCTGGTGGCCAGCACTTCTCTCCCAACAGTAAAACAATCCACGTTACAGCTAGGGGGCGTGTGGTGCACACCTGTCATTGCAGCACTCAGGAGGCTGGGCAGGAGAATGGGGGAACTCAAGGCCAGCCTGAGCTGCACCCAAGACCCTGCCTCAGGAAGCCAAAATAAATAATTGGGTAATGAGTGTGGAGTCAAATACTAAAATTGTCATGAAGTTTTCAAAGATGTTCTTCTTCACTAGTCCTTCTCAAAAGTAGACTGAAAATGTGTCACCCATGCTTGGCTGAAAGCTTTCGCTTTCGGACCACAGGGACTCTCCCATGCTTCCTTGCCCCCTCTGGGGTCTTCAGGTCCCGTCCAGTGAAGCAGCAATCCGCTGGCCACCACACTCCAGACAAATACGACACCCACTGGTGGGCCCTCCATCAGCCCGGTTTCCTGAGTGACAGCAGTCCACACGGCACCTGCTACTCTGCACCTGCCTGTCCAGCTCTGTGGGTGCTCTGCTCCTCAGCCCGGTGGTGATGCCCACTCATTGCTATCATTGATGACGAAGGGGCTCCTGGACACGCAGCCTCCCACATGCCTGAGGCATGAGGTGCACACGTGTGCACATGCGCACACGCACAGCCAGGCTCAAGGCGCTGCGCTGGGTCACTCAGCCAGGCTCCCACACCCTCTGGCTCCTTGGGGATGTGATGGGCACAAAGTCCACAGCCAAGGGCAGGGCTGCCCAGTGCTATCCACAGTAGGGAGCCCAAGGGGAAAGGAGGCTGAGGCAGGAGAGCTGACCCCACAGGACCTGCCGAGGAGGTCCCTATGTCCTGCAAAGGCCACACATTCTGTCACACAAGAGTGGGAGAGGAAATGGCGGGGGTACCCAGACCCCCACATGCCCAACCTGCACAAGGGGCACCCAGGAAAAGGTCACCCAAAAGATCTGGACAGGAAGCCCCTCGTAGTCTCCAGCATTTAGCAGGTGGCAAACGCATTTCCTGGGCGATGCAGCAGGCACCCTGCCTTTCACTGAAATTACAGGTGAACCCTTGCCTCTGAGGAGCCAAGAGAAAGCATCATAGCCCACAGCTTCCCTGGGCACCCCAAGCACCCCACAGGGAGGGAACGGGGTGTGGCCAGGATGGCCCATCCTCCACATGGCTCTGCAGCCACTGCACTGACACAGGAGAGACAGACAGGCTAAAGCCCCGTGAGGGTGATGATCCAGCCCGCTGCCATCTCCAGATGCCGTCTCGCAGCCTGTGCCCTCCTTCACGCTGAGCCTGGCCAGCCACGGCTCCACTGGGAGGGTGAGAAGTGCCCCATGTGTGGGCTGGCATCCTTAAAGCCATTCACTGGGCAGGGCTACGAACCTAGTCAGGGAGACAGCGCTGGTGCCAGGAGACCCCTGCCACCGTCGCTGCGAGCTCAGCTGTGGCCGCGGGGACTCGGCACGGATGGCGGCATCAGGCTCTGGGGCAGGCCTGGCTGTGGGGAGCCTCACAGCACTGGCTGGCTCAGGAGCTCCCACGGCATCCCTGACATCTGCCTGTCACATGTGGTGGCCCCTGGCAGGCGCCACAGGGGCTCCCTGGGCTCTGGGCATGTCTGCAGAGCACAAGGGGTCAGCTATAGCCTCCTGGTCACCTTGCATGAGCCTCCATGCCTTGCAGGAAGGAAGGACCTGCGCTTGGGAACAAAGGGCAGTGTGGGGAAAAACACGTCCAGGCAGTGGGTTTTCCACAATTTCCTCCTACAGCGTAGATGTCATCTGAGATAATTTTCCACTCTTAAAAATGTACCTAGGAGGGGCCGAGGAGATGGCTCAGTGGAATAAGCGCTTCCCTAGCAAGCGCAAGGGTCTGAGTTCAATCCCCGGTTCCGAAAAAAAAAAAAAAAAAAAAAATGTACCTAGGAAGTTGGGTATGATGCCACACACCAGTACTTCTGGCTAAGGAGTATGCTGAGGCAGGAGGTCTGAAAACTCAAGGGACAACACAGTGAAACCCTGTCTCAAAATAAACCCTGCTGGGGGGTGTAGCCTACTGTTCCCTGGGTGCGGTCCCCAATCCTGGGAAAAAATGTAGCCCGGACTTTGACACAGAATTAACCACGCCCCATAGTGTCGGCTGTCACCTCCTCCCTCCACCAGGAACTGATGGGAAGGACCACATTGCCTAAGCAACACTATGAGCAGAGTCTCTCCCTGGCCCAGGTGTGCAGGGCCCCAGGTGTGCAGGGCCCCAGATATACAGGGGCCCAGGTGTTCAGGGGCCCCGGTGTG